CGTCGAGGGAGAGGAAAAAGAAAAAAGATGCATTTCGCAGATGTAAAGCTGTAGTTTTAGCCCCGGAACACTTCTGTCACATTTGTTTGTGTTTGTGCTGATAACCGCATTAAGAGCGGCGACAGAAACACCGCTGGCATTTATGAGGTTAATGAAGGTCAGTGCCGACGGAAACGGCGCGGCGCTCCTCTGTGTGCGCACGCATGGCTTTGTGAATTTACAGGCACTTCCTGATTAAGGGTAGCGGCGGAGTAGTCGGCGGTTTAGGACACGGCGTCCTCTAACTGACTGAGCGTTTAGCCGAGGGAGAAAGGTTATTACTACTGACTGTGGTCTCTCGAGGACGGCTGATAAAATGACCAAGGAAAAGGAATAGCACAACTTTAGCACATTAGCATAATTAGTAATTATCTCGTAATAGTCCCTCTTGGCTTTTTTTTTTTTTTTGGAGCTCGGCAGTGAGAAATTGTACTTAAAGTTCAGGCACAGAAAACAAAATTTCATGCCAAAATGTCTCAATAGCGCGGAGAGCCGCCTCAGTCAGGTTGTGCAGAGAGTGAATCACAAGTATCAGGAGCACAGATGCAGATTTTAAAAAATTCAGAAGGTGACACTTAAGTTAATTAGTCTGTTGTTTGATGACTCCCACAGTTGGAAAGATAAGGGTATTACTCACGCTGCGAATAACTTGTTGCACTTGTTGCTATGACGACACAAACACAGAAGTTTAATTGAGTTAGTCATGTGTCACGCTCCATCTATCTGTCCACAACAGCTTTCAAAACAATGACTACTTCAGGGGAGACATTTGAGAACTGTTGCGCCGCACGCCGCTAATGTGTGTGTTGCCGCAATAGAAATTATGCTTCCGAGTGTATCAGATGATGCCTCCCTGTGTTAATTTGTTTGCACGCGAGTGTGTGTTAGCGCCGTCTGGATGTGTGTGTGTGTGTGTGTGTGTTTCCAGGATGTGTGTGTACAGTGGTGCTGGCGTTTGCAGGGAGCTGTCAGTCCTCATAAACAAAGATGTAGCGCGGCAAGTCAGCAGCATTATCGTTTCCTGTCAGCGTTTGTGCGTCTGCAGTCCACTAGACAACACAACGCCAGAGAGACGCTCGTGGTGGAGAGGAGGGAGCCGAGCCGCCTCGTAGCGACTGTCAAGCGGTTCGGCGGTGGCGTCGGACGCAAAGGAGCCAAATTGGTTGAGTGCTGTTGGAAACGCGGCCCTAATGCGACTTTGTCAGGCGCTCAGCGAAGGCGTCGCAGCAGTCTGAACCTTTGATGTTTTTGGAGCAACAAGCTTCCGATTTGTTTATCCAGTGTTTAGAATTTAAAGCTTCGAACCTTTTGGTTTGTACCTGGAATGGGGCTGCGTTTTAGAATTTTATTTGTGGAACAATATGGCAGCTGCTTTCTTTGATTGGTCCATTAACTGTTTGGTCTCTAAAATGTCAAAACCATGCCCATCAGAGCCCAAGATGATGCCTTTAAAGGTCTTGTTTTGCCTGTTTGGCGGTCTAGAAAACAAAAGGATTTACAGGATTGTAGGAAGAAGGAAAAAAAAAGGGAGAATCCTCACATTTTTCAACCTGGACTCTATTTATTTTCTGTCATAACGCCTTCTTGCGATCTCTCGTCACATGTCTGGGACTCTTTTCCTTTTCCAGTCTGCTGTGTTGTAATGTTTTATGTGTTGGTAGTTAATAAGAAAACAGAAGGAAATTGGCAATTATCCTGCCACCGTGTTGATTCATCCTGTGACCCCTTGTGTGGCTCCAAACCTCCAGCTTGAAACCTCTGATTTTCTGTTTGTTGCAGGTATGCAGATGCTTTTTTTTTTTGTTTTATTCCTGTACATAACGAAGTCAGAGGTTCTTCAATTAAAATAAATGAAAGTAGATTTTCAGTTAATTGAGATTTGAAATTGAAAAGTTGGAGATAAAGATGATGCTGATATGTAATAGTGTCTTATTGTTTAATTCTAGCATCTTTGTAGAGCAACATAAACTCCAATTTTTAATTTTTTTTAATTCGAAAACATGAAGGTGAAGTATAGTTGTCCTCGTAGGCAGCACACACGACCCACATTCTCCACCAGTAAGGTACCGCGGGGCAAACTGTTCTCTGATGGTCAAAGATCGGCTTGCTGCTACGTATTAAACTTGCTTTAATTAATTTTACTTATCAGGATGTTGAAAACTGAATCAGTAGAGAAGCAGAAGAAAACAGTCTTTTTAACTATGAGGAGGTTGTGTCTTCTCAGCCTCTGTTGAAACTACGTCCTTGATATCGTCCAAATGTCACATAAAACGTCCTTTCCATGCCTCAAACAAACACACAACGGTCCAGCGTTTATCTGCCGACTTCACTGGATGAGATTCAGCCACATTAAAAAAAAAACATCACTTTAAAATTGTATCACTCGTTCGCTGGCAGCTGATTTAATTTTTTTTTTTTTTTCCAAATTTCTCCCTAAAATTGTTTTAGCATGCTATTAAGAGCAGCTCTCACATCGAATGTGAAGTCCTGCCAATAGCGTGGAAGCACCCCACACATCACGGTGGCAAAACATTTCTCCAGTTTATGATCCTAATTAGCTCTAACTGTGCCATCATCCCTGAGTCATCATGCCTGGAGAGAGGCCAGATCATTTGACGGTCCGCAGTTTCACACTTTCTTCACCTCTCTCCTCTCTTTCTTTCTTTCTTTCTCTCTTTAATGTGGTCTTTTTTTTTTTTTCCATTCCTCTCTTTTTTCCTGCCTCTCCGCTCAGCAGCACACTGTTGTTATTGTCCTCGGTGTGGATGCTCAGCACGCTACCTGCTGCCGTGAAAAGGGACATATTTTATGAGCAGGAAAGATGCTAAAGAAGGAGTTTGGGCACCAAAAAAAAAAAAAAAAAAGCACTCTGCCGTTTCATGAACTCAGTCCGGAATAGTCAGACATGAGTGGGTTCGAAAATTAAAAACGACAAACAGGTGAACGGCCTTGTCAGCATCTGATCAGCTGGCCGAGCGCGCGCCGTCGACTTAAACCTCTGCACTTATGTCATGCTTGAGTCACACGACAGCACAACTGCCTGCTGCGCCGTGCTGACATAGCAAAGTTAACACTGATACCCCGCCTCATATGGAATAATGAAATTGGATGAAGCAGCTTAACCGCTCGCCGTCCCTTCTCTCGCCATCAGACTGGGTGCCTATTTGAGATAACGTTAATGAAGGGGACTTTAGCCAAGAATAGACACGTCTTATTGCTGGTGGGGGGGGAGGACGGGCGACGAGGAGGGGTGGGGCGCTAACAGCATTTATTTCCATTAATAAGATGGAGCGTTTTACAAGAGGGCCTCTCCTGAGGGCTCTCTCCGGAGGTCGGAGAGAATCCTACACCTTTAACAACCTCTGAACGGATTCGTCTTGGCGAGCGGGCACGTGGAGACAAACTGCAGCGGGTCTTTCTCGAAGAAACTAGTCTTAACCTTGACATTGCTCCACGCAACTTGAGCCGAGGTGGACACTCAATCACCGTAATCACTGCTGTCCATCTGTTGTAGGTCATTAATATGAATCTGAGCGGCTTGAGGAGACTAATGCGCTGCTTGGAGGACTAGCACGAGTTAGCTTCAAGTTGTTGAGCGTTAGATACGCTGGATTGTATTCTTGCACTAAACAGAACGGTGTCGCATTTGAAATCTAAATTCTTTCTATTCATTTAACCAAGTGCTTTCAGACATCTACAAACAAAAGTGGGCTTCTTATTGCTTGCTAGCAAATGTCAGTTTCATTGTGTTTAGCTAATTTAAGTAGCATTAGCTTAAAGAGTTGGTTCAAAATTGCTGTACCTGGTTTTATATCAATGTGTACAAACAGTGAAACACTTAATGCCTACATACACGATGTTGTGCTAAAATGCTGAGGCTAAAGCTAAAAGGTTCCAGGAAAAAGGTCCCATAGAAGACATGGAAACAGAGAAACTGTTGTTCTTGTATTGCAGTGGAGAACATGTCATTGTTGTTGGACTTGATCATCTCTATCGTATGTTTCAACTGTGAGGCTTTTTGTACAACAACGTGAATATTTAGCTAACTACGGCCATCTTGGTAACTAGTGCGGCTCATGCTGCTGACTTGTAAACTACTTATACTGGAAATATTGAGCAAAGTTTAGTCTCTAGTCAGTTTTTCAGTGCAAAACTAGAACTAATATTCAGCGTGCAACATTTATTAATGCAGAACCAAAAAAGGGGTGAGAAAAGTTGGTAGCACCAGTGGAGAAGTTCATCTGGAGCCCAGCGGAGTCCAATAATGAGCAGGACCAAGCTGCTAACTTGATTAAAAACTGTAATATCGTGGTCTCTGGGAGGAGTTCTGGCTGTAAACTGAGCTTTTTTTTAAACATGTAGCCCCACAAACTGAAGTTGTAACCTCAGCCTAGGATGTAGTAAACTGATTAGTCATATGAACTGTTTCTTCTTGAACTCATCATGGCTGTTTTTGAAAGGCTAAAACTAAAGACTTTTTATAAGCCGAGTGTCACTTCTGCATGTTTGGTTTTGGAAAGAGTATTTTGGGGTTTTGATAAATAAGTCAGTTGTGCCTTTGTCTGTATTTGTACCAACATACTGATGTTGTGGTGTATCCCTGATGGATTAAGACATTATATGATAGGTGGTAAGCATTGTGGGAAACACTATTATCTTAGTAATGAGGTTGATGTCATGGGCTCACTTACTGAGCATTCTAGCATTCTGATACCTTCACCTCTCTCCGTATGAGAGGTCAGGAGCTCTCCTCTCCTGTATGTGATGATCCTGCATTCGTAGCAAATGATAGACGCACATTTCATCCAGTAAACATTAGATCCGTGCGGCTGATGGAGTAGCTTAATGGCAGATTAGCGTGTTGATAACGATGAGCGCACACATGTGAGCTTTCTGGCTGCTTCATTATTCTGCTCACATGCCAGCATTAAATAACAGTTTTTCCCCTCTTCACCCTACAGTAAATCCCTCTCTCATCCATCGATTCCAGCATCCTTTAGGGGCTCCTTCTAGGAGCGACCGACAGGCTTATCTTGCAAATCCTTTAAAAGGTATTTAGAAAAAAAAATAAAAAAAATCTTTGCCTGCATTAACTGTGTCTAATGTTGTGCATATCGCCACAGAGTTGGCCGGCGACCGTCCAGTTGGAGTTTTATTTACCTTTGGGCCGATCGGCGCGATAGGCGAAGTCCTGTTTTCCAAGTTTCTTAACAGTCACACAGCGTGGTGTTTATTTTTCCTCCTTGCCGCCCTGATTTTGATTTGTACAGCTTGAAGTGGTGGAGCGTAATAGATGTGTTTGCATTTGCCCGAAAAACTGAGAGTTCCAATCACTCATCCATTGCCTTTGATAGCTCAGAGTGTATTTGGCTTCGCCCAGATAAGGCCTGAGTATACATCCAGTCGGATTCAGTTGAATTGTTTGTACACACATGGTGCTTTGGCATGGGTCTGCTTGGATGGGCTTTGGCATGATGGAGAATTTCCTCCCCCACCCCCGCTACCCCTCCACCCCTCCTCCCCTACCTCTCTGACAGTGGTGCTTTGGGGCTGGAGCTGTTGGTGAAGGGTGAAGGGTGTGCAGGACCCGAGGCTACGAATGTTTTCTTGCGTAAAGGACAAAGAGAGAGGATATCTCGGGGTTGAAAGAGTCCCTGAATTGCTTGCACAGATGGACCTCCACCATTCCGTATTTAGAAACAAGGTATAGTCGCTGCAAGAGGTACGCCGGTAAAAAAAAAAAAAACATCTTTATTTTAGTGTTTCGGTGCTGGAAAAATCCTGCCGCACATCAGCTGCTCGAACAGCTTTGCTACACTTTAGCTCGCAGCTGTCTGCCATCTCTCTAAATAATGATGCGGTTGTGAATCTGCTCGAGAGGTAAACAAATACATTATTTGGATAGGAACAGACATGAACAACATATAACCTGTGTTGCAGTAAAACCACACCGGGTTCATCCTCGGTAACATTTCACCAGATTATTTGTGGAGTGGAGGATAAAGCTTTTTGCTGATGTCGTACAAATGTTATTTTTACCTCATAATCCATTACTGACATGGCACCTTGCGTGGCTTGAGAGAGCATATTGGGAAAAAAAAAAAAAAAGGAAGAGAGCTTCTCAGGTTTTGGTCAATAGCTGTCTCATTTCTTATAATTCGAACAAACTGTTTTTTTTCCTAGTTCTGCCTCATTTTCTAATCATCATTACCTTTTCTATTCGTATGAGCTCTTTCTGTTACAACCTTGAGTTATCCCAGAAAAAAAAAAAGTCCTGCTTAATATTTAGATACGTGGTTAAACTATAATGTCACCTCGTGTGTTTTATTGGCAGATAAACTCATGTTTATCACAGAAAATGACTCACAGAAGATGTTTTCAGTGTAAAGTGTGATTCTATACAGCAAATATCCAAATACAAAAACAGATCGCTTTGAGGTAAATTGATATCTACTGTAAAGACGTGTAGATTCCCGCCTTTTTTTCTCACCAAAGGGAAACAAACTAAATCTAATTTGTGGTGCTAATTGGCAATCTTATGCTAATGATTCCGTTTTAAATACAGTTTAGGATTACAGACACTGAAGGATTCCATTTTTTCCGTCCTTCTCCCTCAGCAAACCTGCAGATACAGACGAGGGTCCTGACGCTGAAATAGAAGACAATCAGATGATGAGTCTACAGAAGGACGACAGCGTTTTGTTTTGAAAGCGCTGCGCGGCGGCACATACAGCGCGGCGGCACATACAGCGCGCCTCCAACAGCGAGTTAAACGTGTCATTAAGTTCAGATTAGGGCGCGTGCTTTCCAGAATACACATAATTTCCCTAAATGTCCAGAAACAATAATTGAAATCCAACTAATCATCCGTTGTGCTTTGGCATCGCACCAGGCCTCCGCCGCTACAACCGACAGCCGACTCAAACTCCGGCAAACTACAGCGTGGCCTGTTGGTTAGAAAGGGAGAGCGGCGACTTGGTTTAACGATAATAGCTCTGACGATAGCGGCGATAATCCTCCTGCTATTCCTGCTGACGGCGGAGAGCCCGCGCTTTGTTCTCCGCTCCCCCTATTAGCGTGATGGAGGTTCATTTTAATTTGAATGGACCATCAGTGGGATAAGAGAAGTGCTCGCCGGTGTGCGTGTGCCGACTTGTGTGGAAGGGAAACCGAGCGCGGAGAGAAATATGCGTATATGTACGTATATAGGCAGTGTGTGTGTGTGCTGTCAAACAAAGAGGCAACAATGGAGACGTGGCCTCAGGTCACCGAGGCGACCTCTCTGGACGGCAGGAGCTATTATCTTCTTGGCAGCTGTTTCAGGAGAGTCTCTCCTCACATCCAGCCACAGCTCTGGTTTAAAAGATGGCGGATGAGGAAGATTTCAGGCAACCACTGGACACAAGAAGAGTGTTGTTGCTCTTCAGGAGATATTCAGGATTATGGATGAGGCCTTCAGGCAGCACAAACATTTACATTTCAAATCCAGTTTATTGTCATTTTGCTGAACATACACAGTAGTACAGGCGAGACGAGAGAGCGTTTCTTTAGGATCCAATAACTTAAAGCAATCTAAATAAAGAAGTGTTTGCATATCTGGATCAGCAGCTCAGCATTCTGACAGCTTGTGTCATGAAGCAGCTGATCAGTCTGGAGGTTCTTATTTGTCGTACAAGTTGGATAATAGCGTTTAGCAATTGATCTGCTGGAAAAAACTGAATCCAAATGCCAAACTGATGCCTAGTCGTTGATTTTTATTTGGCTAAAACCCAAAGATTTTCAATTCACAGCGATACAACACAGAGAAAAATGTAGGTTAGACTCTGTCAAGGGATGAAAGGAGAAGTTTAGACATTTCTGAACATATTTGTTGTGTCTTTATGTAAAGGAAATGTTTCACTATGATACAAGGAAAGATGCTGCACATAAAGCCAAATAGTTAAGAAAGATAAAAGGGGAAACATTTGCACACATTTCCTGTTTTATAGTGTCTTATGTGATAACAAATTGTGTATATTTAAATATACTGTACATTTTATTTACTGGTTCTCAAACGGAGACAGTAACTGCCTGTGAGTGAGTTAGAGAGCTGTTCTACCAAAGTCCCTCCACATCCAGTGCAGCACATTTGCCGTCTACCATTTTAGTTATGCCTGCTCCGAGTGTAAAATTGATGCTAGACACAGTTCATAATATTGAGTGAATCCCTTGCTTTGCCTGTTAAGTGTGACCCCACTTTGAGGAGATGTGACCTGTTTAAAAAGGAGGAGAGCAGCGTGCGGCCGGGGGTCGGTCCGGAGCAGCGAGTCGGCTGCAGGACCTGGACCGCCAGCTGCATGTGTCCCCATCACTGTCTTCCACTTGATGCTGCCAATAAGATTGTTTACATTGCTTTTTTTCCCCCCCTACACCATGATAGCCTCATTCTGCATAAATGCACACAGCTGCTGTACTATATGCGCTCCGTGCATCCGTATACGCAGTAAAAGTGTAAGTCAGCAGCCTCAGCGAGACGGATTGCCGTTCTTAGTTGACCCTGAGTTTGCACTGGTTCCCTGTGGCACAGTTAGTTTGTACAGTCCGAGCCTGTTGTTGAATTGGCAGACAGTATAAACAAGGCTCAGCCCTGGCGCTCTCTGTGTGGGTAGTTTGTCATCGCTGTGACTTCAGGGCTATCTAAATAGCAGCAAGCGGGCGCGTTCATCATCGCATTCATCCTTAGCAGGGTGAGAGATGGATGCCCTACCCGTCCACCAGGTCATGAGTTATCACTCACCAGGGGCTGCTGGTTCATGCAAAGGTCAAAGGACTATTTGTCTTCAGGCAACTATGTCTTTCTGCTACACACACACACACACACACACTTGCTCCCACTCAGAACCACAGCCGCTTACCTGAGGACTCCAGTTCTGGCATGCATTTATTATTTGACTTTATTTTTCTCTCTGCTATCTTGTATTTTCCGTGTCCTCGGCGCACATCCTGTTGTTGTTTGATTAGTCACTTGCTGATGGTTAATCAGGTGGAAATGCTTGATTTTGATGTGTTAGGATCCACACTTTGGTTTGGAGAAGAAGAGCAACACCACTCATGTCTGCATGCAAAATATGGAAGCAGTGCCAGCAGACGATTAGCTCACTTAGCATAAAGACTAAAACGACTTAGCCTGAGTCTGTCTGATGTCAAGAAGAGTCTCTCGTTTCGCAATCACATGTATATAGTGTTTGTGATGTGAATAGTTGCAGCAGATTAAACTGTTAAGAAGTGTGGTTATTGCAGGAAATCAGACGAGTAGATGTGCAGCCATAAATATACGTTAGCTGAGCATAGCATGGAAACAGCTGGAGACAGACAAGACAGTAGGAAGTTATTGCTTGTGGCTGACAAACTGTCTCGCACATAACTCTCCTCCGTCGCCCCCCTCGAGCTGCAACATGACATTTTACCACCGCAGTTGTCGTACAAATTAAAGAAACGAGGTAAAACATGTTAGCTAAGCCCCTTTCAGACGTGCACTCGTCTCTGTTAATCTGATATCATCTGAATGAGAAAAAAAACAAAACAGCTTTACTGTGCTATAGATGGAGGCTGGAACAGATTGAGGCTCACCAGTAACGGATGTAATCCAGGAGTTTATTAAATATCCGCAGCAGGATCAATGTGAGCAAAAGTGAGAAAGTAACGTCATTAATTACTTATAATTATAAATAAAGGCCGACATGGAGACGGGATCGATGGGGGTCTAACGACGAGCCACGCTGTAGCCTCAGACAGGTGAGCCGTCACACAGCTGCAGGTGAATCAGTTGTTGCTCAGCTGATTCAGATTTAGCTGTTTGTTTATCGGTGCGTTGCTGCACGTTATGCTGTTTGATAGGTGTCATATGAAAAATACGATGCGTGTCCTATGGATCTCTCAGCGGTGTTTTGAAGAAGCCGCGAGGAACATTAATGCAAAAGTGGATGGTTTGAGACAGGGGGGAAGGAGGCATGTATGTCAAACTGGAAAGAGCATCCCTCAACAGAGGTGGAGGTCTGAGGCATCACCTCTC